GGCACTGGGTTGGATTTTGCAGAGACCAGGGTGAACATAACAAGCTGGGTCCTTTCTTAAAGTTTATAATCTGATGAAGGTATAGAAAATAAGCAAGTAAACAAATTAATATATAATGCACATTACTTTTTTAAAAGATTTATTTATTTATGCATACAAAAACTGGGATATAGGCAGAGGTATGGGAGTGTGTGAGAGGATTCACCAGAGACAGAGTGGGAGGCAGAACAGGCAGATCTACTGAAATACACTGCTGAGGGGAGCAGCAGGGGAGTCAGAAGAGGTCAGTTGCACCATGTGGGTTGCTCCCTGGCCAGCCTGGGTTGCTTCCTGGCCAGGGATCGAACTTGTGCTGCAGTGGCTGCAGATAGCTTTATAGGTTGCGTCTTAACCCCTTGTGCTACCAGGGAGGCCCTGCACATTACATTTAAAGGCCAGGAAAGATGAGAATGTGGTGGGGGAGTGGGGAGAGAGAGAAAGAGAGAGACATATGCTTGTATATATTTAGAAAATCCCTGCAACATTCCCTAAGGATCATTAGCTGTGATTACCTCTGCAGAAAGCTGAGTGTGGAAGCAAAAAATTAGAAAAAATTGATGTCTGATAAAGCAGAAGCTCAGTAAGTCTTGTTTTTGTTTTTTTTTTCCCCATTGTCTTCAGGGAGCTGTGGAAAAGGTTCATACTGTCCTGTGTCAGGTATAGATATTTGTGGAGGCAAATTAGAGCTGAGAATATCTCTTCTTCCATTTGGGGGGAACGTGAGCAAAGGCTGGGGTGTAGCTGCACTCCTAGTCCGGGACTCCATGGAGTCGTCAGGCTGCTGTCACGTCCACGGAGAATGAGCTAGATCATCAGCTTCTAAACCCCAATTTTGAAACAATTCCACCTGGGTTGAGACTGCCAGGAAGTTGTCACAGTCATTGTGGTTACCCTTGAGAAATGGCAGCCAATAAATTACTTTTAATTAAAGAGGTAGCATCACAAAGACTAAAAATCTATGATTCACAGAGTATTAAATCTATTATTCACAGAGTATTAAATTAAAATGAGGCAAGGAAAGAATAGAAAAGCTGCAAAACTGGGTGACAAACAAGAGCTGGCACATTAACAAGCATCCAAGGTGATAAAACTCAAAAAACAAGAATTTTAGAAGTGGAAGAAGGATTGAATTAGCAGAAAACCATAAAAGCAAAAGGTGCCAAATAGGCTTCTCTCATCATTGAGTTGGGAAGTGTAGATTTTTTTTTTTCAGTCAATACTTGCAATAGGGCCGGATTCGTTTTCCTGTCATTAAATAAAGAGGGTAGGATGTGAAAGGTTTGTGTGACTAGAATCACATCAGAAGAAGGGAAAATATTCTGAGAAACAGAATGGTGTGACCATCTACCTGTGTAGCTCTTTTCTCAGAAGAGGGCAAAGTGACTTATTTCTTGGAAATTTGAGAGCAAATATCTGGTATTTTAGGTCTCTTTCTCCCTTCTGTTTTTGGAGCTTGAAATCAGAGGTTTCCAAGTGTTCATTAGACAGAAGCAACTGCTGACCTCTACGTCCTTGCTGATATAAAGGGTGGGAACACCTTTCTGTCGATGCCTCAGACTTGAAAGTTTGTCTTTAATAAAATACTGCCAAGAAAATGCAGTATTGTTCTAGTGGCTTAATTTGCTGAATTTAACACAGTAGTAATTATTTTAAAGTGGATCTGTTTATGCTTGGAACCTTCTGTGCCCATCATTAGTATACAGAACTCCTGCTTGTCCTGTAGCCAAACGCTTATCTTCTAGAGTAATTTAGAAGTAGTAGTAGTGATAGTCATTGTTTCAGTAGAACAAGTCATAGTTTTTATTTAAATTTGGTGTGTTTGACTGACATGGTCATTTTCCAAGTAGAATTTGTGTTAATAGCTATAATTAGGGTCACAGCTGTCCTGGTTTATTGGGACCTGAGGAGGTTCCTGGGATGTGGGACTCGTAGCTTTAAAACAGGTCAGTCTTGAGCAAACCAGAAGTTGTTCACCCTATTAATGCTAAGTGACATTCTTAATTCTCTAAAAAAAAAAAATTAAATTAAATTAATTAAGCATTATTTCCCCATTGTTCAGGTAAGGGAACTGAAACTCAGAGGTTAAAGCAACATCCAGTGATAGCTCCCAGAGGGCAAAGCCTGGCACTAAATCCAGACCTGTGAGACTCTGAAGCTTGTGCTTTGGGCATCTCCATTGTGCAACTTTTGATGGACAGATTTAAGAAACACCCCCTGGAGATTAAAACCATACTGATTCTGTGACTATTCTGTGAGCCTTTGACTCAAACAGATTTGGAAATTATGAATCATCCAACTAGTGAATTTTTGCTTAGATTTTTAAGCTTAGAAAAGCAGCCTGAAAGAGAGCAGAGCATTTTCTGTGTATAATCTTTAATAATCTTTTGTGAAATGTTGCCAATAATGCTAAAGAAAAGTGGTTGTGCAGTTCAGAAAGCTTACATTTCCACTCAAGAAGTCTCCCTTCCTTCCCATGGGTTTGAGGGGCCATCAACTTGGCTCATTTCAATTAAGGCTTCTGTGTCTCTATACTCCACACCCCAATCTACAAAGCTTTGATGCAATAACATCCAAATGGAAATCATGTGGAACTAGTTCATAATATGGCCATTTATTCTTTCTTTCTTTCTTTCTTTCTTTCTTTCTTTCTTTCTTTCTTTCTTTCTTTCTTTCTTTCTTTCATTCAATCAAAGTCAGAATGAGATCCTACTGTGTCTCAGACTGTGCCAGGCACTGGGACTAGGAAGAGAAAAGCAATGAAATCCTATCTCAAGAAATTGTTGGATAAGTTTAAAATTATATGTGGTCATAATTATCCCTCATGATCCTTCAAATCACCTATAAAGTATTATTGTAGGTGAGGTTTCCTGGAAGCAGAACATCTGAACAGTTGTACTGAAGCCTCAGTCTGATCCCAGAGGGAGCCTGGAACATAAATGGCCTCACAAGGAGATTTATACCCCTTGAGGCGAAAGGCCCAGCATTTTATATTTCCAGCTGTCAGGCATTGGCTTGAGCTGTCTCCAGGAATTAGGGTGCAGCCTCCTTGACATTTTTGGTCAAGATGGTTCCAATCAGATGAGGGAAATTCTTAAAAGGGTGCCACTGTGAGTGATCAGCAGCCAACCTCCCAGCAGCTAGGGATGATGTACCAGCCAAGTAAGGGGGATCTGAAGTGGGTATCACCAGCAGCTACTACACAGGATTTATGTGGCATGTTAGAAAGCAGCATATCATTTGTTAATAAATACAAAGAGCAATTTATTTCCCTCCAGTGGTCCAACAGCCCACCATCTCACCAGATGCACCACAGATGAAGTAGTTGGCTTGTGCTTGGGGTCATGTTGTATGAAAACATGCATCTGTTAGCACTACACTCTCACCCAGCCTGGGAGATCTGCACTATGACAGCACTCTTACAGCTCTGAGACTGGTGGTGTAGTCCAGGAAGCAGACTCCGAGATGTCATTACACAGGGCGTTCCTCAGTAACTAACCTGCAGGCACCTGCAGGAGGGAGGGCTGCAAGGGGCCTGGGCAGACGGAGAAGCAGAGCCACAGTGTCGGCCTGACAACAGTTTCAGCCAGCTGCATCCCAAAGGGACTTCTGGACTAAATGCCTGGTCAGTGCTGACCTGCTTTGGGCTTTAATGGTCAGGCCTTCCTGCCCTCACATTTACCCCTTCATTGGCCATCTCAGCAAGGGCATGAACTGGTGAGGCGGCTGTCTGCAGCAGAGACCACCCCTGCAGGGACCACTGGAGGCTATTTGCTGACTGCAAACACTGCAGCTGGGCTGGGGATGGGGGACCTGTGCCTGTCCATCCACCATGGGGGTTATGCACAAGGCCTGTCTCACACTGATGCCAAGCAAGAAAGCACTGGGCAGATGGATGCAAAATTGTCCCTCATTAGTGACAGTTATTTTCTCTTGAGGGGAGTACAGGGGACTGGGCACATAGGGTTGAAGAACCTACAATGTCTTAGCAGTGAATGTGTATTCTGGACTTTTATCACTGGTTGTAGGGTAAGCAAAAAAAGTATCAGGCTTTTCTGCCCTCCTGCCATTAGGATTGATGACGGATTCCTGTGGTCCTGAATGCATGCCTGATGGCGGGCACCTGGAATAGGGTGTGGGCATATGTAGATGGGATTCACCTGGGCTAAGACTGTGCGTATAAGGGTGGCGTCACGGGGATGCCAGTAGAGCAGAACCACTAGAAGAGCAGAGAAGCAGAGAGAATGTGAGAGAAGGCTGGAGAGCCCAGAGGGAGTGAAGACTTGCTGGGGGCTGGGAGGCTGGCAGGCCAGCCGTGTACCTGGTAAATCCCAATAAAAGCCTGAGAAGCCACCGAGGGCTCCAGGACTCACTCCTTTACCCTGTCTGCTTGGGTCATAGAGATCCTGCTCCATCCCTTACACTGGTATATGCTGCTTTTTACTTATTATGCTCACTAAGTTTTTAATAAGTTTTTTATTTAGTGATAGACATTGTGCTAAGTACTTTACATGCATACCTTATTTAAACCTTAAAACAACCTTATGAGGGAGGCATGATTACTAATCTCCATTTTACAGGTAAGGAAAGCAAGGGTTAAAGAAGGTAGAAAAAAATGTGTTCATAGTGAAATTATATTATAGTCAGCATTTGAACCATAGTCTCTGACTCCAAAGCTCAAAGCTAAAGCCAAGTGTGAAACCTCCCACACTGCTCTTTGAGAAGCCCTAACTTATTCATTCATTCACTCGACAAAGTCATGCCTTATACCAGGCTCTGTCTAGGTGGGTTTGAGAGAGTCAACAGACTCAGTGTGCAGAGGAGCATATGTGTATGTATTCTGTGGATCGTTCTCCCTGTGCATGTGTGTGTGTTTGTAGCAATCTCAAGAGATCAGTGCAAAGGTCAGAATCTTTGGATATTTCCCAGAAAGTCACTTCACAGTGTTAAACTTTTTCTAACAGGCTAAAAGAGATGTTAAACGGATGTCTGCAAAAGAAGTCACCATCAATGTCACGGACAGCATCCGGCAGGTAGAGAGAAGTCGAAGAATCACAAAGAACTGCGTCAACTAGCAGAAGATTCACCTCGAAGGGCAGGTAGACTTCTTTGGACCCCACCCAGGAACCTTGAAGAAGTGGGTGCCCCTGAACATGAACGCTGCTGAGTGCCTTGAGAGACTTCTCCCTGGCAGCCCATGGCTAGCTGAGCTGCTGGGACTTTCTCAACCTCCTATTTAGCGCGTAAATGTATTGCACAGGCCTCACATAGGATGATAAACCGCAGATATGCACTTCAGTTTGCAACTCCTACCGATGGTCTGATGTAAAAATGAGAAGCTGAAATCACAGGCCAATTTATGAAACAGAAAAGTAACAGGAATGGATTCCCTGAGGAAAGAGTCACATATCAGTTCTCAGCTCTCCTGGACACAATAGTATGCCCTGTTTCAGGCAAGCTTCATTCTTTTGTTCTTTCTTTTTGAATACCACCATCATAAAATTTAGCACGTTCACTTAAAAGTTGATTTTCACCCAACTCTAAACCTAGATATATGAAAAATCAAGGTAGCTCCCTGTTAGCTTATTATGAGACAGCTTCCGATTCAATTTCACACAAAGAATTCTCCCAACATCAGTGGCATGTCTTTGAGAGGTCTCGGTGAAGCACTCACATCTATTTCTTATCTGTCTTCAACTTCCCCTCATGCCGGCATCCATGTTAGACCCTGGGCCATAATATTAAGGTCGTTGTGGTCAATATATCTACCTAGGACACCCTACAGGGCTCAGCAAGACTTTGCTTTTTTTTTTTTAAAGCTTTCCAGGTCTCTTTGCTTGTGTTCTTGAGTGTTTTCTCTGTCCAACAGGGTCATTTGCAACTGTAATCAGAGACTGGGTCCTGCTCACAAGAGGGAGATAATCCAGAACATGTGGGTAGTGCCCTCGGCTTCCCTTTGGCTTCTCTGTACAAAGCCCCAGGACTGTGTCATTTGCTGTTTGCAAGGAAATTGCCTTAGAAAGCTGACATCGGGCTGATGTGCATACCCGCTAGCATTAGATTGACAGGCATCGTGTTAGAAGTCAGGTGAATGCAGTGAAAAAATGTTTTGATAAGAATAATTTTCTAACATTTCCTTAAACTTGTTAAATATTTTCCTTCAAAGTAATGTAGCATGACTTTTTTAAGGACTGTTAACATGCCTGGGATTGGGAAAGGAAGGACTTAAGTTGTACCAACAATACCAATAAACTCCATGTTTAGCAGAAATAGGCAACCTGATTGTGAGTGTTTATATAGCAGCCTAGAAGATTGACACCAGCAGGTTAAAATTCAGATATTGACTTCCTTACCCACTCACTGTTGTTCCTCAAACACACCAGATTGTGCCCTTCCTCCCTCCATACCTTCTTTCCTTATTAAATGCCAGACTTGGACCAGGTACCTTACATATACTGACACATCTAATGTCTGTCCAGCCATGTTTGTGCAACCTGAACCATGGGTGAACTCTTAGGAGACTGACCTAAACCTTAAGGTCAAGTGTATGTTGTAGATTTCTCTGCCAGAGAACCTCACTTTTCTATTCAGGGTAGAGTTCTGTCTTATACTCTAGATCTGGATGTTCTCCTAATGACTGTAAAAGCCTTTACCATACACAAAACTACAGTTTTCCCAAATTGTACCATTTTGTGATTTTTTTGAGAAAGGGCTTTTAAGGAACTTCACATTCTGAAATTTTTTATAATAAAGTAAAAGCAAAACCTGTGAGTCATATTCCCCACTGGCATTACTCAGCTCAAGTCCTCCATTGCCAAAGGTTGTCAATGGTCCTGCAAGTTCAAGGGCTCACTTTCCCAAGGCACATGCATTGTGCTTTTGTGTGGAGTGTTCCTTCACCAGTGCTGTCAACCCCGTCATACCTAGTTTCTCTTTACAGCTTGTTTGTGTATCACTTAACTGCTGCTGCACATTGTTTGGAGTTTATCAACGTGAGAGGGTGTTTCTGTTTTATATAGAAACAGTTTCTCACTTCTGCAGGTAAGGTAATCAAGGGCATATGTGACCTGCTCCTTCCCAGAACAATCTGGATTTCACCAAGACAGTGACCAGCGGGTAAACAATGTTGCTAGAAACTCATCTGGCATTTTTTCAGGTGTGTATGCTACATGAACTAATTCTTACCATTCTATTAGCAATACACTTTGTATTGCAAAGTTTGTGCCAATAAAATCATTACTCTCATACACATGGCCAGTTACAGAGAATCTTTACTAGAACTTAAATTTGTATATATAGAGCTGTTTAGATATTTTCTTTTAACAAAGGCCCTTTATATTAAGTGATCCCTGTGAATCCTCCAGAAAGCCTTGTGTGGTAGGTAAGAAGAACACTACTAGCTCCAATTTAGTTACTAAGTACTTAGACTTTATAAAGTCCACTCAGCTGGACTATAAGGATGGGACAGAGATTCAAGTGAGGGAAGTCTGCCTGCAAATCCAGGTCTTTTTCCAACCATATAACGGGTGTTTTTCCAAACAAGGATGTCTAGCGAGACCAAGAGACTCAGGCTTTTGGAGGGGAATTGTCAGGGAGACAGACTAGAACAAACCCAATGTGAAAATGGTGGCAATAACCAGACAGGGCTGAGGAGCTTCGGGGAGCTTTGCTCTCTTACCCCTGCAGAGTGGACCCGGACCTAATGTGAGAGCTGACGACCTTCACTGAAGGCCAGAAAGAGAAAAGGGACTTCATAATTCAGAGGAGACTGAAATCTCACCCCTCAGAGAAGCTGCTAAGACCTGAAGGTGGGGGAAGCCATGCAGCCAGCACCCTCCCCTCCCCCTTATTCTGCCAACACCCTGAGCATTCTTTGGGTGCAGAGGCACAGGACTGTACCTCCTCATCCTTTCTCCACTGCCCACCTCCACATAGCCCCCCACCATATTCCCCACCACTGCCCAGGCTACCTGAACACCCTCCTGTGAAGGCTCTGATGACTGTCACCAGCTTATGGCCCCCACCAGCCCCACTCACCAGCTGCCCCACAGGCCACAGAGATGTGTCCCATACCACATTTGCTCCTGTCAGCAGGGTTCACAAAACTGGCATCTCCCCTGTAACCCAGATGGCAGACATGCTTTTTTTTTTTTTTTGGCTGCATGGTGTTAAAACTTGAGAATTTCACATAAAAAGCCAGCTCTGGCAGAGACTCCTAGTTTAGAACTCCCACATCCATTTTCCTGTTCTTCCTTAACTGGGCACATCACCACTTCAGATAAAGTTTATGTTTTCAGCCTCCTTTGCAGCTAGTTGCTAAATGATTAAGTTCTGGCCAATGAAATACAAGTGAGGTATAGAGGCTTCCAGGAAGTCTCCTTATAAAAGAATGAGCTGGCCCATTCCTTCTTTTCCCTTCCTGCTTTCTGAAATGTGGAGGTAATGGCTGGAGCCACAGCCATCCGTGGGGTCATGGGTGACCTTGGGAATGGAAATCATAAGAAGATGAGCAAAAGTCAGAAGAAGCCTGGCTCTCTGACTCCATGGAGCCTTCAGGACCACACATCTCAAAACCTCTTTCTATGAGAGAAAAATACACTTCCACTTCAATTAAGCTGCTGTTTCGAGTCATTATGCACAGCCAAATCGAATTCTCACTGATAAACAAATTTTCTACTTTCTTTTGAAAACGTGTAAGATCTTTTTCTCTGTGGTGTTTATTGCCACTTGACCAAAGGTGTGGGAGTTGACATGGCTGCACTAGCTGGGGCTGGGGGAGTCCAGAATCTGTTGGCCCCGCCACTCATGTGGCATATGCAGGAGCCTCCCCACTGGTCCTACATGCCCAAGCCCCAAGACATTTGCTTTTGCAACCCTGCTCCTAATTAAGTTCTAAATATATTGTTTTCATATTCTTTTCAGGAGTCATAGAAATACTGAAGGTCCTTTTGCCCCATCTTGCCAGTTTGGGTAGTCAATTTCAGAAGAACTTGCTGAGAAATTACAGATGTGACATATTTCAGATTATGTCTTTAATCACTATTTCATTCACTCCATATGTCCTAATCAAGAAACATTGATGCATCAGAAGTTGGGAGATGTGAGGAATAAAATAGACCTGGCTCCCACCCTCATGAAACTGACAGACAATAAAACACAGAAAAGTAAGTTCTCAGATAACTTAAGATGACAACCAATGCTGAAAAGAATGTTGACAGGAGAATGGAAGGGGCACAGGAGATCATTCCACCAGGCCTACTCCCTTTTTTTAATTAGGGAGTAAATAATATTGCCCTTTCTATGCCAGATAGCCCTCTTATAACACAGTCCTATGCCAGGGACATGACTGAAATTCTTTTTGGCTTTTTAAATATTATTTTATTTATTTATTTTTTTAAGATTTATTTATTTATACAAGCACCGGGTACAGTCAGAAGTGCAGGAGCGTGAGAGAATTCACCAGAGCCAGAGCAGGGAGCAGAGCAGGCAGAAGGACCGAAGTACACTGCTGAGGGGAGCAGCGGGCGGCAGGAGAGGTCTGCGCGCCATGTGGGACCCTCACCCGGCGGCCAGGGATCGAACTGGCGCTGCAGAGGCTGTGGGCAGCTTCGCAACCCAGTGCTCAACCGCTGCGCCACCGGGGAGGCCCTAAATATTATTTTATTATCTAGAGAATATCTCCTATTCTAATAGCTAAATCCATTGTGGGATGGCCTATGAAAGAAGGGCATCAGACAGCCCAGAAAAGCTGAGCACACAGACTTCAGGCACAGGAGACCAATGTTAAGCCAGCAACTGTTTCTGGGTCATATTGTGAAGTGCTTTTTGAGGGTGTGTTGTAAGCTTAACTGAGATAACAAATGTAGATAATGGTGGCTGCCGTGTAATAATGACGATGGCCTTGTACCAGGTACACTCTCTCTAGTCAATAAGCAGTCCCGCCAGGTAAGCCTCATCAGCTCCGCTTTACAGATGAAGAAGGAAACTTAAAGGCCTCCTTTAAGGTCAAGGGGCTTACTAAATGGTAGATCTAGGGTCTAATCCCAACTTTACCTGTCGTAAAGCCCCATGCACTGTCCGTTGCACTGAGTCAGTACTCAATAAATGTTCATTTCCTTCCTGTCACAAAGGATGGCAAGTGACTTCACAGCACTTTTTATAGCATCAGTGTCTCAGCATTTCCAAGTAGTCAGTGCTAATATCAAGATCAATGACGGCACCATAGATACAAGTCTGCCAAATGTCACCTTTGTTCTATTTAACTTTTTTCCTTAATAGCAACAAAGGCAGTAGCCACCTTTTCAGTTGTACCATAATGTTAAAATTCCTTCTAAGGGAATGCTAATAAATTGTGGGAGTCATTCTAAAACATATTGCAAACCTAAGTATTATAGATCTATAGTAATCATTCCTTCCTCTTCTAGAATATGAAAATGAAGGCCTGAGCTGGCCTTCCAGCTCAGAGTTCCCAAGGAGAAAGAATATGCCAGAGCATAAGGCAGCACCTTAGCCACTCACCTACTGCTTGTAAATAGGAATGGAATGGAACAAAATTGCTTTCTAGTTATAGGTGAAAGAATATGATTGTTAGCAAGATGGTTTGTAATATGGCTATACATTGGAATCACCCAGAGAGCTTTAAAAACTATTATGTCTTGAACCTACCTGGAGAGATTCAGGTTTAATTAGTCTAGATTCAGGTTTAAACATCTGGCATCAAGATGTTCCAAAACTCCCTGGTGAGTTCTAAGGCACAGTCAGGTTTGAAGCCAATGATTAAGCTGATCACAGATAATTTTAATGTTTCCAAAGCTCCATGAAGTGATCTTGTCAGACTTGCTGGATTTGAATCCCAGTTTCACCATTTACCAGCTTTGTGACCTTGGGTAAGTCATTTAACCTCTTTATGATCCTGAATCCCCCTGTATGAAATGAGACTAATAGTATCTCATGGTAACCAGAGGATTTAGTAAGGGTATACTATTTGTAAAGCACTTAGTGCAGTGCACAACATATGAAGATCAACATAAGGTTATCATTTTTGACCTGTGATTCAGCCCTGAAATTTCCAGGACATGAACAACACCTGACCTATAAAATTTAGCTCGCAAGGGTAAATGTACCTGAGAGCTGGGTCCTTATTTAAGTACAACAAACCCTCACTGCAATTTTAAGTAAGGTCATTTAACAAAACCAATTTTAGCATAGGCTAATTGGTGTAAGCAAAACTAAGTTTCTACAACATATTCCTGGTCACAAAAACATCATCATACTTCTAAATCAAGATTCAGAACATTTCTGATGCTAAATAACATTTCTGATGCTAAATATTCATTCATTCACTTTCCAATCTGCTTATACCACCTTAGGGTCAAAGGCACCCCTCTAGCTCAGGCTGCACTCGTACACACATCCACACTCACTCAGACCGGGGCAATTTAAACTTGCCTTTAAATCTAATGTGCAGGGCCTCCCCAGTGACGCAGCGGTTGAGTGCTCCGCAGCCTCTGCAAAGCTGGTTCGATCCCTGGCTGCAACCCGGCCACTGGAGGAGGGTCCCGCATGGCGCGCAGACCTCCCCTGCCGCCAGCTGCTCCCCTCAACAGTGTACTTCTGTCCTTCTGCATGCTCTGCTCCCCGCTCTGGCTCTGGTGAATTCTCTCACCCTCCCGCGCTTCTGACTATACCCAGTGCTTGTATAAATAAATAAAAAATAAATCTTAAAAAAAAATCAAATGTGCATATCTTTGGGATATAGAGGAAACTGGAGTACACAGAGAAAACCCACA